AAAGTGTCTGTGGCATTCTTTGTTTTCATTGTGTGAACTCTGACAAATCTCAAAAAAATATCTACAGCAACTAATAAATACTTGACACCATTGTTTTGACTAGCCAACTTGTCTACGAAAGCCAAGGCCACGCTCCAGATTTCCTTGATATTTTAGAAAAAGCTTGAAATCTACGGAAACACCTGATTGGTGGACCAAATTTTGTGTCGGATGTCTTGGTTTGTAAGAAACTTTATACTTTCTATTTTGATAAACCAATCGCTTTACTCAAGTTTTGAAAAGAACCGTACGCGGCTCTACCCCTAGAATAGAATCTTGTTAGTCTTATCTTTTCAGATTTTGAAAGGGATCCAAGTTCCTCTGTCTTTTGCTTTGGCATTCCAGTTGATAACAAGTTTAGGTGGAAGTTGAGTTGCTTCCAAAATAGTAAAGTAAATATCTGGAAAGTCGGTGTTTTTTTGTTCTAGTGCAGACACAAAGTCCACAATAGATTCTTTTGTATCACGATTATCTAATATGATGTTATCTGACTGACTCAGTTTAATTCTGGGAGAATTCAAAATAAAATCAATAAGGTGCTTATTGCTACTCGTTTCAACTTCGCATGTACAGCACTGTTAGTAGAATCTAAATTTTCTGGTACAATCTCTTTTTTTTCTTGATTTTGTTACAATTTTTTTTCTTGGAATTGTAGTTTGAGACTAATAAACTGAGTACGGAATTAAGGCAAAATGTTCCATTCTAAATCAATCGTTTAATGATAAAAGGTAATGATAGATATCAATTGTAACTCAAAATTAATTTATAAAGTTAATGCTTTTATTATCAAAATATGGTGGGGGAAGACCTGAGACATGCATAAACGTGCGTTTCAGGCCCTGAAACGCACGTTTATGCATGTCTCAGTTCTTCCCCCACCATGTTTTGATAATAAAACTAAATACTTTATAAATTAGTTTCACTAACAAACTATGGTGGGGGAAGACCTGAGACATTCATAAACGTGCGTTTCAGAGCCTGAAACGCACGTTAATGCATGTCTCAGGTCTTCCCCCAGCATATTTTGATAATAAAACCAAATACTTTATAAATTAGTTTTATTATTGAAATATGGTGGGGGAAGACCTCAGACATGCATAAACGTCCGTTTCAGGGCATGAAACGCACGTTTATGCATGTCTCAGTTCTTCCCCCACCATATTTTGATAA